CCTGCTGCGGGGCCGTCCCGCCGCTGGGCGCCCAGCAGTGCTCCTGTGTCCCGACGCCCCCAGGTAGGGTCGCGCGCGCCTGCCCTCGCCGTCACCGCGGTCCTTGGCCCCACGGGCGTGGGTGAGCCGTGGCGCTCGCTTTATCCGCCTTGCACAAACTTTTCTCCTCCTGCAAGCTCTGCATCTCGCTCTTCCCGATCGAGTGTAGGAGTTTGCACACTTCTTGCTGCAAACTTCAGGCGAGAGTTGGCGAAAACTAATTCAGCGCCTGCTTTGTGGGGGTGCGGGGGCTAGGCTTTTAGAATTCCCTCCGCGGCTTCGGGAGTGTGCGAGTGGACGCTCTAACCCGCTCCCTCCTTCCTCTGCACCCTGATCCCCGCGCACCCCTAATGCCCAACTCCCTAGCGTGACTTTAAGTGGTAGAAGGTCTCGGGCTGGCGGGCAGGCGTGTGTGCGGTGGCTGACCGTGCGCCCCACTCTGTCGCAGGCTACGAGGGCCCCGGCTCGGTGCTGGTGTCCCCGGTGCCGCACCAGATGTTGCCCTACATGAACGTGGGGACGCTGTCGCGCACGGAACTGCAGCTCCTCAACCAGTTGCACTGCCGGCGGAAGCGGCGGCACCGCACCATCTTCACCGACGAGCAGCTGGAGGCTCTGGAGAACCTCTTCCAGGAGACCAAGTACCCGGACGTGGGCACGCGTGAGCAGCTGGCCCGGAAAGTGCACCTCCGCGAGGAGAAAGTGGAGGTGGGCACAGGGGACCTTCCTGGAGGCGCGGGGTCGGGCCGGGTTTGCCCAGCCCTCCTTGCGTCCTACTCCCTGCACTTTAAAAACTGCCCCCCCGCCGCCTGGAGGCTGCGGGAGGGAGGGCGCCTTAGGCCCAGGAAGTGGAATGGCAATGCGGAAGCAGGAGCAAGTGGCTCTTTTTTTGTGTCCGAGTGCGCGCTGTGTCCCAGTCCCTGTTCAGATTCCGTGCGGGGCCGTCCCGCGGCTGCGTGGGGTGCCGGGGTGCCTCCACTGGGGACGCGCGGCCGGGATCCTAACTTGTTTTGTTCTTGGTTGCGCAACAGGTCTGGTTTAAGAACCGCAGAGCGAAATGGAGGCGGCAGAAGCGGTCCTCGTCCGAGGAGTCGGAAAACGCCGAGAAGTGGAACAAGACGTCCTCGAAGGCATCGCCCGAGAAGAGGGAAGAGGAAGGTAAAAGCGATTTGGACTCGGACAGTTGACAGCCGCGGCCAGCCGTGGCTCTTGGCGAACTCGAAGGACTTGCACAGACAGACGATGCTACTTTCTTGCACACGGGCTGCCTTGCGGGAGGGCTTGGAGAAAGGAACGAGGAGCTGTAAATAGTGTACAGAGCCCCAAGTCGGCGCCTGGGGTCGGGGCGGCGAGAGGCTCACGCCGCCAGGGGGGGGGGGGGGGGGAGCCCCCCCCCGCCACAGTCTGAGCCGCCCCCGCCTCGCTCCCCACCGTAGTATTTATAGTTAAGTTAACGGTGACTTTACAATAAAGTGATGAATGTGGACGGGCCGCATGCTGTACTTCCTACCCCACCATCATCATCTGTGTCTTCTACCAACGCCGCCGTCAGTCCCAGGCCCCGAAAAGACAAAGAGATCACTTTAGCCTGCAGCATCTGAAGAAAAGTGGGGCAGCTCTGACCTGTCCTAAACCAAAGAGAGAAAACTGGGTGTGAATCAGTCACAGGACCAGAGTCCTGGTTTAAAAGTGCCTCCTAGTTCCCCAGGAAGGGGTGCAAAATGGCATTGCCCAGCAGGCTGGCGGAAGTACCAAGCCAGAGAGCACTGGTTCCCCTGAGCTGATGGCCAGGGCCCCTGCTGCGGTACCCAGCTTCTGTTCCAAGCCGCTTCTGGGTCTTGCTCCTGCAAACCATTCCCCACATCAGAGGGATATGGCTGGGAACAGCACGCTCTGCAGATTCCCCAGTGGCTCCTGGACCTTCCAGGGCTGCTTCCACTGCCTACCACTTCCAGGGAGCCACTCGCTCCTGCACAGCAGGCTTTCTGCCCCACAGCCAGGACATCAGGGCGTCTCCCACTGGGAAGCAGACTTGGGAATCCCACCCCTCAACTGGCTGAGTCTGCTGACTGCTCCCAGGGGTGGCCAGGGCCCCTTGTAATTCCTGTCTTGGCCAGCCTAGTCTAGGAGCACGCTGCTTGGCGTGTGCCTTTGTGTTGGAGGGTATCACTACGTGCTGGTAGTACAGATGTCTGCTGCTTTCTCCCTGGATGGGCTACCTTCCGTGCCAGCTGGCCAGGGGAGCCCAGTACGCTGATCACCAGTCTACCAGGGCTAGGGAAGTGGCTAGTTGCTGGATAGAGGCCTGGGCCTGGGGACCATGGGAAGGGCACAGGAGGATGGGGTAGTGGCAAAGCACCAGCAGGATTGGCAGGACTGGCTTTTAGTATGTTTCCTTTTCAGTTTTGCTGAGTCCATTTACAGACAGGAAGCTAGGGCTCAGAGAGTCCCGGATGTGCTTGTTGCAGGGATGCTGGGAGCTTATTCTCCCCAGGGCTGCCCTAGGTATTTGGTGGAGGTTCCCTCCAGCGGACAACTGTGAGTCCTGGCTGTGGAATACAGCGTACACAAAGCAACACCTTTGTACAAGAAGCGATGTATTTTCCCAGACTATTGTAGGTCGGCTAGGTAAAAGTGGCTCGAGCAGGTGGAACGATGCTCGCTTGTGAAATCTGGCGTGCCCTCCTGAGCTCCCTTTCTAACAAGGCGTATCCCCAGGCAAAGCCAGGAGGTAATGGTCCGGGCCTGCCGCACGGGGCAGGATTGCCTGGATCCGTATCTAGACTCCATCGTTTTATGATCTTGGACAAGTAACGTAACCAGCCCACTCGCACCTTCCCGTAACTGTAAAGAGACCACCGTGATAATAGCTGCTTCCCACGCTTGGTCGGTTGGTCGTTGAGGACATGAGGGGTAACACTGGTGCAGAACGGCGCTGGCTTGAGGGAATCCTTCGACGTGGCCTCATTTTTTAACGTTGTGATTTATATTGTGCCAGACCAAGTACTTCAAGATTTATGTACATTAGCTCATTTTGTCTTTCAAGAACTCTGAGATGGGGAACGTATTCACCATTTTACAGATGAGGAAATTAAGGTTCCGAAAGGTTAAACACTTTCACAGCACGCAGCTCCTAAGAAATAAAGAGGAGGCTTAGTCTTGCTCGACTGAGCCGTGTGCTATAATTGGAAATGTTTTCACTAATAAGGGTTCTATGAGAAATATTCAAAGAAGCCGTTGCGTTAACTTCAAACATGTCTTGCAATGGCTATTAATATATTGGGTCATCGGAAAAGTCATGACGCATTTTTGCATAGAAAAATCACAGCAAACTACCGACGGCTTTTCTGATGATGACCCAATACCTCCTCCCTACACAGCAGACTTCCAGGGTAGAGACCTCACCTATGCCGACCCCTCCTCAATAGCTGATGCTCCTGGGTGATGTCCTCCGCCTCTGGAGAGGGGTGAACCTGCAGGATATCTGGAACATTCTAGCATGGGACAAAAGTGGGAAGCATCGTTCTATCCTGAGATGTGAGCTCTACAGGACTCTGTTTATAAATTCCTGTGTGTCTCTTTGTACATGACTTGCCCTCGGACTCACTATAAAAGGGGAGCTTTCATTTAAAAAAAAAACAAAAAAAACCAAAAAACCAGCATCTAATCTGGAAAGTGGTCTATGACCATAGGGAGGGGGCATTTCAGGGAGGGTTGGGCCTCAGGCCCCATGGGTACCTGGTGAGAGGAGGGGAAGCAGAGTGAGGAGACATGAGCTGCTCCTGGCTCGGCCTGCGACAGGTGAGAGAAGGGTCCTTTGCTTCTACGGCCCATGCCGGCACCTCCTGTGACGCGCTCAGGATTGCCCAGCTCCTGGGAAAGAAACAGAAAACGTCTGGGGTGAAGGGATGTGGGGATGGCCTGTTTAGAGTCCATTGTCTGCCTACGAGCCTCCAGCAGCTCGGGATGCTCAAACTCCTGTCTTATCCTCGCTGTCCATGTCAAGGAGGACCAGCTGAACCTCAAGAGCCCTCTTTGGCTGGGTGTGGGCCTTGTCATTTTCAATCATGGTGTTGGAAAGTAGTGTGTGCGTGTTCAGGTGAGCCAGGTGTCAGCCAGGCGACTTTGTCTAAGTGGTCTCCAATCCGTACGCTCTCCCCAGCCCACTGAAGGTGTTCTGCCCATTTCGCGGTAGAGCAAACTGAGGCACAAAGCTCATACGGAGGACCAAGATGGGAACTGTGGCCAGCACAGGGCCTGACTCTTGGGGTTTCCGTAAGTCAGGCTCTCTCACAGAACCCAGTCATTCTTTTGGGCGGTTGTAGACACCCCACATACGGATGCGCCAACAGCAAATGAGCACAGGTGTGGGCGTGGCTACACCTGGGGACCTAGGCATTCATCTATCCCAGACGTGCCAGACAGACTAGCAAAGAAAAAAATAATGACAATTACGCCCCTTCCATGAGTCTAGCGCTTTCCGCTTTTCCACCGCAGAGCCATTCCATACACCCCAGGCCCTCAGAAGGTGGGAACTGCAGCCCATTGTGCAGATGAGAAGTGGAGGCTCAGAGGAACTCAATGTCTTGCCCAGAATCCCCCAGACCTTAGCAGACTCTTCCCACATACCTCTGGGGGTAGTGATGAGGTGCTGGATAACAACTCTCAGGTGTCCCAGGTCACCTGCCTGGAGGGAGCAAGAGTAAGAGGGAAAGTGCTGCAGGTGTCAGACTGAACAGCCCCAGGGAGCACCCCAGGGAGCATGCACTGAGTTCTAGAGGTGATTCTCAGCTGTCAGCTGCCCATGGGCGGGAGGAGAAGGGCTTGGAAGTGATTGCATTCTGAAAAGTATGCATGGAAAGTACATTTTAATTACAGTTCTTTTATCAAGTCCTGTTTTACTGACATTTGAACTTTGAGCTAAGGGTTTAGCCCCCAGGTGAAGGACGGTTGTGTTGATGTGTATACACGAGATGGAAGTGAGTGGATTTCTCTTTTGTTTGCTTGGGTGGGGATCACCCTGGGGCCAGGGGGAAAGGAGCTCTTTTTCTGAATCCTGCGAGGTTTTAAGTGACTCAAGTAAAATAATGTAGGCATTAAGATCCCACTCAAGCTTCTGTTTATGCAGGCCCTCTGTGTCCCCAAGGTCTGTAACTCAGGGCCCCTCAATTCATTTGTCTTGGTTCCTCACACCCCTCTTTAAGTTAAACAAAAGAAGTGTAAATACAAAGCTTCACTTTTGTGAGGATGGGCCCTTGACCAGGGGAGGGCAGAGAGGACAGGTCATCTTGTGGTGGGAGGTGAACAGCTGGGAGGAGGGGCTTTAACACACACTGGTCTCAGCTATCCGGATGGGCAGTGTACTGGCCGAGTGACCTGAGACAGGCTCCTTAAACTCTGGGTTTATCAGGTTCCTTCCTCACCTGCAGAATGGCTTGGGTGGCAGATTAGAGCTAATGCATGGAAAGACCCCAGCAGAGCGTCTGACACATTTATCCTCATGTGTTTTGAAAAACACCCTGGAATCAGCTGGATAATGCCCTGCATGAGTAGGGTGGAATTAGGAATTAAGGAATGCACCTTGTTTTTAATTGTTGTTGGTTTAGGAGCTTAGGCATGACCACAGGACACAGACTCTAATGAAATTAAACGTGATTGCTGCAGATTTAAGACAAGGAAACATCTGATAAGGCATAATAGCTCACATTCTCTCTGAGAAGCTTAGGACCAGGAGATTAGAGTGAACGAGGAGAACATTTGGAGTGGATTTGGATTCGATTTCCAAGTTTTATGAAATGACCTTGAAGTTTTTGTGAAAGTAAAATGAAAGCAAAACCTAGCAGCTGGTATAGAGCCCCTAGAAAGTTCTGGAAGAAATGGATCTGCCTGGGTGTCTTTTGGCTGTTGGGCTCTCTCCCTTGTGGAGGGGACTTGGGCATTCCCGAAGCCTGACCCTGGAGGC